ATGCATACATATGTCTTATGTGTGCACTGTGTGTGTGTGTGTGTGTGTGTGTGTGTGTGTGTGTGTGTGTGTGTGTGTGTGTGTGTGTGTGTGTGTGTGTGAGAGAGAGAGAGAGGAAGTCCGTGGATTGGTCAATTTGGACCAATCAGCGTGGGCTTAACGTAACGGCTCCGCGGACGTAACGTAAAGGCTCCACGGATTGGTCCATTTGGTTCCGGGTACCGCATGACGTTAAGCGGTACCCGGAAGAAACATTGGACAATGACGTATCAGTGATGAATCTCCAACGAGGCGTTTTGGGGAGGTATTTTCTGTGTTAGAGTTTTACTCCCTACAGGGTGTACTTTGAAGATTTGTGATTCTGCAGACCGTTTACATGCATTAAAACCTTCATAACACAGAAGGGGACGGGTAATAACTGGAAAAGCATGACATGGGACCTTTAAATGATTCATTGTTGTAGTTTTATCTCGTATGTTTTTATTTTATATTATTTGTAATATTCCTATTAAGTTAGTAAGTCTGGAATAATGTAAAAGTCCTGGTACAGCATGTCATGAAATGTCCTTGTAGTAGATTTTTTACTTCTGTACCTTGCGTTTGATCAGAGGGAAGCCGTGTCCCGGGGCCGGGGGTCTGGCGGGTCGGGGGCCTTTTGGTGGTTTGGATTTGGATTTAGACGGAGAGGGAGAAGCTTTCCTGTTGAACGGGTTCTCCTTACAGATCCGCTGAAATGAGCAAAGAGATGCAGCTGAAACATAATGTGCAGATTGTTGTTTTATTGCTTCTATTGGAGGTGGACCTGGTACCTTATTGGCGGCTCCTGAGGCCAATGGGCTGAGGGTCGTGGGGGGTCTCGGAGGAGGGGCTGCGGCCCCTTGGGTCCCAGAGCTGCGACTGCTCTGAGGGGTGGCGGGAGCGGAGCTAGCAAATGATGGAGAAGGGTGGGGGCTGAGGAAAGGGTGAGGCAGGCGCTCGGTGGAGGAGGAGGAAGGAGAGGCCACAGAGTCGCAGGGGGAACAGATGGAGGGCTCAGAGACACTTTTGGTGAAGGTGTGCTCCTGGTCGCTGCTGGGACCCCCACCCAGCGGGGGGTGGAAAGAGCTGAGGTCCGAGCCGGAGGAGAGACTCTCTGTGCTGAGGGCTGGGGAGGGGGAGCAAGAGGAGGGCTGAGAGTGAGGGAGGACTGCAGCGGGACGAAGGTTCAGTGAAGAAAACAGTGAAAATAGCAGAAATGAAACGGGAATCAAAGTCGAGACAGATCGTGGTGGAGAGGGGGTGGAGAAGAGAACAAACAATGAACATCGATTTATAACATCACACACCTCATGTTTGTACTTTCACATTATTGTTCCAGTTCAACTGTGCTGAAGTACAAAGTATTTATTTATTTGAAGGCGTTTGGCTTTAAAATCACTGAAAGTATGTTTTAAATGTATGTTTTAAAATCGATAAAAAGTATGGCACATAATACAGGCATTTCAAAATAAAGCTGTGCTTTATGTAGCTAGAAAACTCATCTTTATAAAACCTCTGTTCAGTTTCTAAGTGTTTTCAAAATATCCCGGACTTCCCATCCGCAAACAACCCATTAAAATATGATTGCATGTTCTATTCACAGTGATTACACCAGCTTATAGACATCATATTTGTGTAGGATTATTTAGTGCTAGGAAGACAATAACACACTGGTGGTTCTCTCCTGAGCCTCATCTAGAAGATAAGAGGTTGAATCATTACAGGGTAAGGCTTTTATAGAAGAATCATTGCCTGTTATTCATGAATGCTATCACTTAAGGGGCTTCGGGATGTAAGAAAACCCACACACACATCATTTATTTTTATTTTGGCAATGCGATGGTGATATGAATAACGCTTGTCTTGGTACCTTGGGTAGAGGTTGATCGGGAAAAAAAGAAGGCTAAAATATCTTCCTTGATCTTTAATCCAATATTCATCCCATTTTCCATTCCAATACCCATGAACTGAAACACTGCAAGACTTGTTGTTTTCCACTCAATGCTGTTATTGGATAACATGCACTAGCAGTGTAGGGAACTACAACATGAGCAAACGCATGTTCCCCTTCAAAAAAGACTTTGTGGTGGGGGGATATTATATTAAAACATGTTAAATGTCTTCCTTCTTGTATAAAACAGCATACAGCTAGGAATGGTGCAACCTCTGACGTTATCCAAATGAAACATTGATCAAACTGACCTTGTTGACCTGTTGGGGGCTTCGGGACCCGAGGGGCAGGACGCTTCTTGTTCTTGGCGCTCGCGGGGCTGGCTGAGCGGGACGAGCTCCCCCCAGTGGGTGGAGGGTCTGCTCCTGGGGTGTCTGCTGCCTGGGTGATGCGATACCACGGGTGACTCGCCGCAACAGTGGGTGGAATCGCACTTTCACCGCCCTCTTCTTCCTCCACCTCCACATTTTCATCGTCATCATCGTCGAATGGGTTCGCGGGCGCAGGGGGGGTGCTGGGTCTGGAGCCCTCCCCTTTGAGAGAGGACAGAGAGCCTGTGTTGGGAGGGGTTGCCAGTCCGACAGGGGGACGGGGAGGGGCTTTCTTCTTCTTGGTGTCTGATTGGACCAGGGCCAGCCAAGGTGGGTCTTTGGGTTTAAGGGGGCCACTGGATAGGCTGGACAGTGAGACACACAGATAGGGAGGGAGGGGTCACACAGGGGGGGAGGCAACTAAATACAACCAAACAGAAACGGAGGGGCACACAACTACATGCTGTGACGAGATGGAAATTAGAACTGAGACAGATATGATTATATGATTTCCAAAAAAGAAACATCACCCACAAAATGACAATTGTATATAAATTACTCTGATACTTTGTTTTTCTGGCTTCCCTCTAGGGTGAACTTAAAGAGCCTAAAAATGCATTATATTCTTAATGAATCAAACACTATATCGTAACATCCTTTAACAAACTCTACAATATTATTCAAGTCTTATTTATCCAGTCATAGGCTCACTGTTTCCCAAACACATGCATTTTAAATAAAACAAAATCATATTTAATACACCAAAAAATACGAAAAAAGGTTTGTAAAATGTATTTCGGGTAGCTAGCATGCTACTGGCTAAATGAGACAGGGATTATACTACATGCTTTGTGTGAGAGTTTATAAAAATAATGATTTGATATATTTTTTAACAGTTGTGAAACATGGCCACCTTTTACATGATGACTTTTCTCCGTTTTTGGATGTTTTCTTTAAGAATGAAAAGTAACAGGGCTTGAGTAAATTGATATCTACATGATTGCTTTTGTGGGTGACTTATTCTTTTAAGGATGATGCATTGGTGGCAATGGATAGAAAAAGAGGCCAGTAACAGAAGTTCAGCTACCTTCCAGGAGAGCGTGAAATTTCTCGAGGTTTGGGAGGAATCAGAGGCTTCTGGTGTTCACCTGTGATATTAAGAACATTGTGAGGACAGGTGCATATTTTTACATGTAAACATTTATATTATGCAGTGAGTACGCACCGACTGTAGGGCTGTCTGCCGTGCGAGGGAGGCGGACACGTGGTGCAGGGCGAGGAGGGGGGGTGGGCTCAGCAACGCGGCGGGGGGCCGGTACTGGCCGACTGGCCCCTTCCTGATGAATGAGCGGTGTAGAAGGGAGATCTCCATTGGTCGTTACTTTGGCTGGTGTTTTACTTTCTTCCTCTTTCTCCACTTCTTCTTCTTCTTCGTCGCTCTCATCAAAGGGGTTTGGAGGAGAAGAAGAGCGCGGTGTCACTTCGGTCTCCAGACTGCCCTCCGTCTCTTTTGCTTCTTCCACAAAGTCTGCAGTATTTGTTGTGACAGCGGTAACTAGGACAGAGTCATTCGTTGGCGTCTCAGTCTCATTTGTTGACGTCTCAGTCTCATTTGTTGGCGTCTCAGTCTCATTTGTTGGCGTCTCAGTCTCATTTGTTGGCGTCTCAGTCTCATTTGTTGACGTCTCNAAACTCACATTGGTTTCTCATACAGCATCTCTGTAAACTACGTGTATTCACTGAATTTCACTCTCTGCCTTTAACGGCTCGTTGTAGCTCCAGTAGCTCGGAGCTACTGGAGCTACAACGAGCCGTTAAAGGCAGAGAGTGAAATTCAGTGAATACACGTAGTTTACAGAGATGCTGTATGAGAAACCAATGTGAGTTTGGAAAATTGCATAATATAAATCTATTCTAGTAGACCTCAACAATGGAATTATGATCAGTGGAAATGGCCATGACATGGGACCTTTTAAATGAAAAAGACATTCCTATGTTGCCAGTGTTTTCTGAGCCTGAATGATACGGGGAACATCTCTCTCTCTGGCTGATGTTCTTCTGTTACTCATCCAAGCCACAAATACAACTTTTACATTAGATGTTTTTAAAAGCGCCTCACATGAAGGATCACTAGAGAACAATTGACTTGCACTTTGCCTTCTGGGAACCTGAACCTACTATCTCATCGCTATGAGCCTCCGCATGCTACTCTCCTGGAGCCGCACCATAGATAAGCTGTATGCATAGATGTGCAGAAAGCTCTTAATATTGATCATTTTACAACAGTTACAGAACACATTTACCTTGATAAGCATCATACTTTCCTGTCACTGTTGATATATATATCATCATTCAGATCAGCACTGGGAAAATAGCCACGGTAATGTACTTCCTTGTAGTCATGAAAGGAGTATCGCACAAGTGAAACAAATACAAAAGAAAAAGGAAATCTTATCCTCTTTAATGACATTGAACTACTATTTATTTTAATTACCTTTTCTTTATGACGTACTTCTTATTAATTTGTTATGGGAAAACTACACTATGACATTTTTAAGACTTCATCGGAATATAATACAATATTTGGAATGGCTGAGGAAGTTTTTCGCACCATGCCTCCAGGTGCAGTCAGACCAGTACATCCCGGTGGAGGACATCCACGGGGAGATGGGTCAGCTGGAGAGGCAGCTGGACGAGCTGGAGCAGAGGGGGGTGGAGCTGGAGAAGAAGCTGAGGGACAACCCCAACGGTAACACATCACACTACATTTCATAGATGTTTATTTTACTTTTGTACAAGTAAAACAAATACAAGTGATAATTCAACTATTTGTATATTATGAAGTCGGTCTATAAATATACACAGTGAAAGTACCAAAAAGCTCTATTCACGGAAAAATGCAAGCTTTGCAAGAGCAGACCGGACGGTTCTGTTGAGAAATAATGTGTTTTGGAAAATTAGAACAGGTTCTAGTAGAAACCCAAAAAGGCATACCTCCTCTAAAATGAAATAGCTTTTTACCTAAAAAGCTCACAAAAGCATCATTGAGGATTATAAAACGTGGGGTTGGGATGGCAATAATGCTAGATATCACCTTTAAAGAACAATGCATAATAACAGAAACATGACCAATACATCTCTGTGTTCCTCTGTTGTGTTTTCAGATGAGGATGAGGAGCACCTGTTGGTGGACTGGTTCACTCTCATCCATGAGAAACATCTTTTAGTACGAAGAGAGGCTGAGCTGGTCTACACGTGAGTATGAGACGCAGCAGACGCTGCAGGGGTAGACATTAAGGGTCAAATTCGGGCCAGTGGAATTTTAATTAATATCACTGGGCCCACCATTGTAACCACTGGCCCGGAGCATTCGTCCAAAACATCGACTAATAATGAAGAAAATGTCCCAGACACATTTGTTGCAATAGTAATTTATGCACTAACTACATTACTACTTGTACTACAACATTTGAATCATCAGTTCTTCCTCGTTTTCCTCAATTGTTCATATTTGGTTTATTAAAATAACGATATTGTGGTCATTTTTAAATGTCTGCTATTATCATTATTATGAGTATTATTATTATTTGTATAATGTGCTTTCTGCCTTCCTGTCATTAGGAGTTAGAAATGTAATGGCTATGTAATAGAACAGGGGTGGCCAACCCGCGGCTCTCGATCCGCATGCGACTCTTTGCCTAGTTTCATGCGGCTCTGCAGTTCATATCGAATTGTATATGTGTGAGTTTGGGGGAGAGACACTGACTCCTGACTAGTGTTGCACGGTGTACCGATACTTGAAAGGTATACCTCGATACCCTGCCGTTAAAAACGTTACGATTCCTCCGTTTCGTTAGTATCGGTACTTTAAGAATGACGGGCGACAGTACTCCGGTGAGAAAGCGCAGTTTTAATAAGAGCCGTGTGTGTTCAGCGCTCTGCTTCCAATCCCTGCAGTGCAGCCGTGCCTGCAGTCCCTCCCNCCTCGGCTTGTTGACAAAAAAGACGCCAGAAGCGACATTTTGATGTATTTGAGCTATATTTCTGACAGTGAGGGCGAGCCTACGGACACCACGAGGCCTGTCTGTAGGAAATGTATTCATTTTTATTTAATACGAATTCTTGTCATTTATTTTATTTATTTTTCTCATTGTTTAAAAGTTTGTGTAATGCTTCTGGTTCTGGTGTGAAATAAAGCACAATAATTACGTTTAAGACTTTTTTTAAGAAAAGTATCGAAAAAGAATCGGAATCGCAATTCTTGACTTGGTATCGAAACCAAAATGTTGGTATCGTGACAACACTATTCCTGACAGTTAAACCTGATATTTAGTAGGTCTGTTAAGAATCGAATGCTGATCATTCTGACGTAATTTGGCCGGTCAAAGTTGTTTGGGCTCGGATAAAATCGCTCGTTACTTTCGTCCCGTGTTACTTTCGTCCCGGCTCTCCCTACGTGTGTGTGTGTGGTGTCAGGTGTCAGTATGAAAGGATGACAGCGCGTCTAATTTTGATGTGGCCCAAGAGCCAATCACAATAATACCTGCGATGCAGTGAACCAATCACCTTTGAGGGGGGGAAAACCTATCGTTGATTAAACATCCAGTGTTTCCCCTACCATTGTCTTGGAGGGGCGCTGCGCCCCCGCCAACGGAGCCCCGCGCCCCCCCTGCAATTCAAGGTGTTATATAATGATATATAAAAAAATGTTTTTAAATATATATATAGCACCAAATTGCAAATAATCTGTAACTACTGTCACTTTTCACATTGAACATGTGCTCTTTTATTAAATAAACTAAACGCTTTCATTTTAAGTTGTGAGTTTAGTGTTTTTGACCCTAAGAAACACTGATGCATTAATCAATAACAATAATCCACAGCTCCTCTCTCTGCTCCAGAGGATTTAAAAAATATATATCCCAATGCCACAAAAATGCATCAGTGACGTGGTTGAAATCTTGTCTCCAGAAAACAAAAAACTGAAACAAGTGGTATCAGTGACTGTGTGTTTGATGTGGCTCTTTGCAGTAACATAGAAAAAATGTGGCTCTTAACCTCTGACTGGTTGGCCACCCCTGTAATAGAACCTTCATTGTCCTAAACTGCTGGGACAATTCCCTATAGCCAATATACCTTTTATATTTTCTACTCTTCACTTACTTTTCAGCATGTAGGTCGGCATTGATATACAGAGCCGTCAAAAGACCTTGTTTATATTGGCATCATATTGTGATCCGGTGACTTTCTTTGATTTGAAGATTGTTTTTTTCCCGGCACTTGGCCGGTTGCCGTTGGTATTAAAAACCTTTTGGCGAATGGTTAGGTGGCGCTAAAGTCTGTAGTCAAGGAGCGCGCTCCCACATGGGAGTCTGCTCGCGCTGCGCTCCGCAGCAAACTGCTGCTTGCTTTTCACCCAACAACGACAACCGTCTCACGAAACGCTATGTTGTAGCGTTAATAAACAAAACAATTTAACAAAATTTCTTGTCAAAATACCTATAGCATAGGACCTTTTATTTATTTTTTAAAGCAATGTTTTTAGTGGCCCGAGTGGGCAAGTGGAAAGTACGTAATGCTGGCCCGGGGTCTCTAAATAGTGCTTCCGGGCCCTGCGTTGGATCATAGGCCTTCATCGGTTATTTCTCCCTCAGTTACTTGGGAGCGGGGTAATTATTGTGCAGGGTAAGTTGTTGTAAAAAATTCAAAGCCTGTATGTAATAGCAGCGGAATTATTCAGTGCAGCGAATCAGCCGAGTTCCTTCCTGCTAGTTACTCAGAGAGGATGAGGCATTTTCTCTTCTGAATCCTTTGCTTTTAAAGTGTAGGTCCATAACTATTTTTACGTGAAGACTTTAAGAGGCCCTGTTATGCCTTAGGGCCCCTTGAATGTAAGGTAGTGTTAAAGTATGTTAATGAATAAAGGTTAGCGGTGTCGGTGTAACATACTGTGTACGTGTTGCTCTCTGCAGAGCGAAGCAGCAGAACCTGGAGGAGAGGCAGGCTGACGTGGAGTATGAGCTCAGGTGTCTCCTCAACAAACCAGGTGTGTGTGACCTCACCATGTTAACAAGAGTCATTACAGTCTGACTCATGACTGTGTTTAATGCTTGGCTTAGAAAATCAGCAACCCAAATGTAATTTGTACATCTGCACACACTGTGTTAAAGGGGACCTATCATGCAAAATGCACTTTCTGATGTCTTTTATACATAAATATGTGTCCCCGGTGTGTCGGGGAACTCACGCAGCGTCAGAAAATAAAACCCTCTCTCTTTTCCTCCGTACCCCAATCCCAAAAAACGGGGCTACAGCGGAGCTGATCCAGATTTGCGTCCGATGTGACGTAATATCGGAAATGTAGGCTGGCTTTACACCCACGGCCCTATCAGAAACGTTGCTATCAGAAACAATGCCCGACTGTTTTGGACGTAATATGGTCGGTGCATGTTTACATTAGCATCGCTAACACTCAGAGCTAACTTGTACTGCACAGAGCATGTGTGTGAAGAAGCAGGAAATAAAAAGGAACTCACCTTGTGGTATAACTGGCAACAGAGAAAGCCTTTGAGCTCCATACTGTTTCAGACATAATCCTTGATAATCCATGATATGGCGTTTCATCACGGCAGAATCTGCCGGTAGAATCTCCCGCATGAACTCAGCCCCCTCCTTTTTTTTTTAATCAATTTTATTTTTTTTATTTGTTATACCCCAAATCAGCACTTTTGAAACAGGAAGTGAGAGACCTATGCTATTGCCTAAAAATAGCATGATTGGTGACCTTTAAAGTATAATCACTGACTTCTTTTTTTATCTGTGACAAGTTTTGCACACACATTCACTAAAACCTACTCTACTCACATTCATTATATCCGTTTATATATTTCTTCTATTAACATGAATTTAACTCCTTCTTTTTAACTTGCACACTGTATTCCTGCAAAGTGCACCATGTTCCCATTGCATATTAATACAATAAAAAAAACACTGAAATCCTTCTGTATCATCCTTTGCCTCCTCAGAGAAAGACTGGACGGAGGAGGACAAGAGTCGGGATCAGGAGCTGATGTCAGAGCTGGTGACGATCATCGAACAGCGGAACCAGATCGTCAACAACATGGACCAGGACCGGCAGAGGTAACCTGCTGCTTCCTGTCAATCTTTGCAGCTCTGATCAGTCATACTTTGTTTCTAACAGCAATCTAACACGTGTCATTCTGTCACAGGGATGAAGAGGAGGACAAACTGATGGAGGCCATGCTGAAGAAAAAAGGTATGATGAGGAGTGAATCCATTTGCTGTGGGTCACAGATTATCATGTTATTATCTATTTAATTACTTAGTTTGTCCATACATGTAGGCTTTGCTCAAAACACAAGCTCATTTTATATATTAAAAAAAAAGATTTCTTATAGTTTGCCTTTTTTAATTTGAAGGCAGTTTTTTTATTTAACTTGAAGAAAATATTTCAAAAATAATATTAAAAAACCTAAATAATTAGCAATCTAATACAAAAGTATAATTTATATAAAGCAAGAGAATAATAAAAAAAAAGACTAACTATAGGTTCTTTAGAAATGTGTACATTTCTCATACTTTTTTTCTTCTTTTTTATTTTGTACTGATTTTACAAACATTAAGAATTGTATAGCAATTTGCGGTCTCATTTTCCTCCTCGTCAGACTTCCATAAGGACCCGGAGGTCGAGCCGCAGCAGAAGAAGAAAGGGGGGAAGTTCAAACCCATCAAGGTGCTGAAGAGGCTGAGCCATAAAGGGGAACCAAGCAAGAGCCCCCGCAAGGAGAAGAAATCCCCGTAGACACAACGCTTCTCCTCAAAGAGGATATGAGACTTTTTTTTTAACAACTAAGGCAGATTTAAAAAAAGGATGTGAGCAAAGAAGATAAGAGGAGGTCGTCTGACTGTCCCCCAGAATCCCCTCACCTCTCACTCCTTACTCCATGCCTCTCCAGTGACCTTTTTTCTGTTGCCTTTGTGTGATTTTAGAGAGACGGTATGACGGCTGCTTTATGAGCGGACATGTTTGTAAGCCTTTGAAGCAACTGAGGTGACCCGCAGGTTGTAAACGACTGCACTGATTGGTTGCTTGTTGCTTCACTCTCCTTGTCATTGCACAGCGTGTGTGACCCTTCAGGCCTTTATCAAGGCTTCCCAGCTCCACAGTTGACCCCTGAGTGTTGTATTGGTTTGAATCTGTTCCTGACACATTTATTACCCTCTGCTCCTGAAACCCAAAGATAAGAAGCTGGATATCTGAGGTTTTATGTCTGGTTTGAGCCTGTGGTACGAGTTTATTTTTATCTTTATCTAGCAACGTCTACTCATGAAATGCTCGATCAACAATGCATACCTAAGCTCTTCTAGCTGCTATGTTATGACTGTCTATGGGTCCCTTTTTGTATTTCTCCTGTGATACTTTTGCGATGATGTCCCTTGTGTAAATGCATATCATCAAAGACGTGGATGTGAACGACGTAGATATACAGTATTAATAGGAAGTTGTGTGACTGGAAATCAGATTGATTTAGAACGCTCTGAAGATAAGTATTGTAGATAACCTTTAGGTGTCAGAAAGTGTATCAGTATGAAAGGTCACACATGCAATAATGAACATTAGAAAAGGCAGATATACAGTATGTTAACAACTGTAGCAAAGCACCAGCTTATAACAGACTAACCATTGGGGAGAAACCTGAATATGCAATCATTAATTTATATTTTACGATGCCTTTCTGTGTGTTTCCATGTATTGCCTTAAAAGTGTATAGGAAAGAAAGTGTTAATATTGTTTGTACGTGCCATTTATTTAATTTCAGCGTCATTTGTTTGATGTAACTGTCAGTATGTTTACTCATTCTGTTCCTGTTAGTCCTCCATTTGAACTGTAGTCTGCGTTGTGTCTCTGCTCTGTGCCTGTCCTGTCGGCTGTAACCAAGGGCTTCTGTGGCGCCACATGTTCTCAAACAGCAGCAGGATTATTACAAAACATACTGACACTGGAAGGCAGAGGAATAAAATAACTTACTGCAAGTCCTTCATGTTTCTTGTAACTTTAGTGCGTGATACAGATCATGAGCAATGACTAAATGTCAGTGGCAGTGAGTCTTCTCTTCTTCTGTCTCTTTTATCGCCATTTTTTCTGTGACCTGCCTCTCAAATGTCAGACTGCGAGTCTTCTCCAACACCTTCAGTTCTCGGATCCTCTGTTATGGAGTCGTGACAAAGCGGAAAAGACAATATCAGTTCACGAGAGAATGAAGAATACTCTTTTTTTTCTGTGAACCTAAATGTCTGAATACAGACTTAAACCAATGCCATTATATAGGATATCAAAATCCTTAATCATTTGAGCTCGTATTACGTGGGATATCTCCGAGTTGATGATGCTGGTGTACTGCCTCTCCTGACCCAGTGAGCCCATCTCTGCCAGGAACTGTCTCCTCTCCTGTATCTCATCCACAACTACAGAACAGACATGTTATTGTTAGATGCATTCTAAAGGATATTCCCTCTCTCTCCAAGTGAGGTTCTTACCCTCATTACCTCTGCCCGTCCTACCACTTGTCCACTGGACCCTAAACGTTAATATCAGGAAAATGACACAGTATAGTACAACAAAAATACCAGAAAAAGGCATACAGTAGTATATGTATATTACGCATATGACTTTTATTTTTTCCTGATATTATATTACTTGAACAAATCACACTATATTTTTGTAAAACTAAACCAAGTGATATTATATGTTCTAATTTACCGCATACAGTCTGTAGCCTCACCTATCTGATAGCGGTCTCTCTGCTCAGCGACCTCTTGGTTCCGACAGGCAGAAACATGTTGGGAAGCTTTGGGCTCTTCTTCTCCTGTTGCCAAAATATTCTGAAGCCTCCTCTTCTCTTTCTCCAAGTCTCCTAGGTTGGACAACGAGAGTGAAGACTGAATGATTCTCAGGGTGCAGAAAACAGAACAGAAACAGGTCACCATCGTTTAGTGAGGAAAAAAATCCGATATAACGCAATAATATGAAATGTAAGTCAAAGTCATACAATCAGGATAAATAATAATGACGTCAGTTTCGACATACTTGAAGGACCAGGACAGAACTTCTCTCTGACGTAGCTGTTATCCGAGCGACAGGACTCAGCGCTGCGTCTCTGAGGCTTCCCTGGAACACGCTTCTGGACACATTTACTGGTTTTCAGCTGAACGGGTGAAGATGATGGTGTAGGGTCAGAGTTCAGAGGTAAAGCTGCTCCATCTGAGGGAAATGTAAAATAGATCAATGAGGACCTTTTCAAAATGGTCAAAATGTAAGGCTTAATGTTTCAAGAAATATTTATTAGGTTATGTTATGATCTGGATGTTTAACACTATCATATGGTGGGTTCTGTAATAAGAATATCCATCATGATCATTTCATCATAAAACATTGTAAGAATATATCAAATGTACGAACTGCATGTGTTCTTATAATAAAATAGTATCACACAAACCCCCCACCTCTCATTCAAAGGTAGAACACTTACTTTTGAGGCATTGGTTGATCTGTTTTCTCTGTAGGTTGTTGAGTCTTGATTCCTGCATCATTACTGAGCCCAGGGAGAAACAGATTCACATGGGCATTCGACCAAGTGGGCATATTACATATAACCTATACAGTCAGACTTGGGCTGACTTAATAGAACAAGTGTGAGAATGTTATCCAATATATCATCACATCTAAAAATTGTACATAAATAAAGCAAATGTTATAAAAATAAATCCTCTGGAAGAACCAGGCTGTGAAATGGATAACAAACATACTAAAACTTGTTTTAGGTCTGCACAATGCTGAATCTACTTGTAGTTATGTCGATACCATGTATTTATTTTAAAGAACAAGCCTACATAATCATAAGTGCACACAGGCTTAAATACACTCAGACACACGTCACCTCCTGTGTGAATATCTAGAATATCAATATGTGCATCATCTCACGTCTCAGCAGGTCCTGGGTCTGCTGGCTGTACTGGGTCGCTCTGGGCTTGTTCCACAGTCCTCCATCTCTGCTCTGTGAGGAGGCCTCCATCTGTAACCTCAAACACACATAAATAACTTATCAGCACCCCTGGGACTTCATTCAGCATGGTCTCTGTTCTGTTGAAAGCTGCATGTCAGATTTTGTGAACATGAACAATTCACTAAACAGGGGGGCAGGCTCCTTTCTAGGGATGACAAAATAAATAAATGGTAAATCATTTGAACTGCATATAGCATACTATGTTAGGAAGCAGCTAAGCTTTAAAAGGGATTTGGGCAGATTCTGGATCACAGCTGCAAGGTCAACATACAGATAAGGCATGCTGGATGCATTATTTGTTCAAAAAGAATTCCAAAATGTACAGAAATCATCGATAAAAATGCTTAACTTTGTCTGAAATAGCACAATGCAGCTTAGATTGTGTTGACATTAACAAGGGTTGGTGCACTTGCTAGTAGGAAACTAACTTTGACAGTTATATGCTAAGAGAGGGTGATAAATAAGTTGACACTGTAAGAGTAGCATAAAATACACGATAATACTTAACAATAATACAAAAATAACTCACTTTAAATAAGTTTTCTCCTGTAGCAAGTCCTAATGTCGGTCGTCCTCCGGGTTACAAACGGCAGTGTATGTATGTTGTCATAGCAACTAACAACAGCTTCAAGCTCTTCCGCTGGAGGTGCATAATGTTCGCATTTTAGACTAGACACATAATAAAACACACATTTTATAGTTTTTTCCTTTTCTTTTGGAACTAGATTACATACTCAACTCACTCAGTTTATTTAACAACAAAAGGATCTGAGTGATTATTATTTGTAGTAGGCTTATGTAGATAGGCCTATGTAGTTTTAACAAATGGCCACTAGATGGAGACAGACATAAGGTTGTGTTGGTACTTCGATTGATAATGTGCAAAACTAATTATGAATTTGTTACAAACTAAAAACAATATAAATAAATGTTTCAAAGTCAGAATTTAGAATGGAAATAACATACAGCTCTGGAAAAAATGAAGAGACCACAGCAGCATTATCAGTTTCTCTGGTTTAACTATTTTTGGCCTATGTGTTTGAGTACAATTCATGTTTTTTTATTATATTCTATAAACTACAGACAACCTTTCTCTGTGTTGGAATTCAACAGACAATGGAATGGCTGTCATACATGTAGAGATTGAGATTTAAGAAACTCTGGCTTCTTAATTAATTTATATTAACTTTAAACGCTCTATATGCATAGCATCTATATTATTCCCAAATAAGTCCATAAGCATTTTAGGGTATATTTGTGTTTGATATTTATATATTCCTAAATTATTTAGGGTACGACCAGCCGTGGATTAAGCATTTTGCTTAAATATAAGTACAAATACCTACCACTGTCAAAAATAATACTCTGTTACAAGTAAAAGTCCTGCATTGAAAACCCAAAGTAAAATACACATAATCACTAAAATGTACTTTGACTAGCGGAAGTAAAAGCTGTATTTAACTGTTGGTTTAGGTGGAGCTCATTTTAAGATATGCACAATGCAACCTTTTTGTACAATGCAAGCTAATTATTATTTACAGTGGTGTGAAGTAAATAAGTACATTTACTCAAGTACTCTCTTTAATCACAATTTTGTGGTACTTCTACTTTACTTGAGTAATTTCATTTGATGTTACTTTGTACTTCTATTCCACCACAAAACCGAATAAATAGTATACTTTTACTCCACTACATTTGTGTAGATGAATAGATGTATGATAAACAATATGATCAACACTTAAATAAGACTTTAGCTATACCTGTATTCAATTCACATGCTACTACAAATAAAATATTTAAAACTTGTTCCACCTTTACAGGCCTGATAAAACACAGAATATATATACACAATATATGATTGTGAAATGGGCCAATGTATCTGCAAATATATCTGCATAATGAGTACTTTTACTTTTGGTACTTTAAGTATATTTAGATACAAATACTTTTTTACTTTTACTTGCATAACTCTGTCAATACAGGACTTGTACTTGTAACTGAATATTCCTACACTTTGGTATTTCTACTTTTACTGAAGTCCAAGATCTGAGTGATTCTTCCACTTCTGATGATTTAAACCATGAAACTATACAATTACTATCAAAAGACATGTTCTGATAATCAGTTGGATTACTAGAGCAAGTTTTTTGATCAAACAACTACACAATATCTCTTCTTCTTTTATTGACTTTCTGTTTTAAACTTGTAGTTGGGAGTATGATAGTATCACAGGTGTTGTAAGGACAACAAACTAACAAACAAACAATGTGTTCAGATCATAGAGGGGCTGCGTGTAGAGCATGTGCAGTCGTCACTGTGAGGAGGGACGAGAGGGTCTTTATCAGCGCTGGCTCCTCATCAGGGATCAGCAGCCGTGAGGAGTTCATTATCTGTGAGGAGACAGCAGCCTGCTCGGCCTCGTGTCTGCAGATAAACAGCAGCCAGAACATAATCACCTTTCACACACAGGTCTTCTCAGAAGTCACAAATGCATGTCCTCACTGGGAGACAGGGAGCGACCCCCCCCCTTTCCCCCTTTTTTCTGTCTCATTTTATTTGAGTTTTTTAAAGCTATTTCACTCCTGCTATGAATTCATGTTTTTAAATCCTGTTTATGTCTTTTTCTATTGCCTTTTGTATATTTTATTGCGGTTTTATGTCTTTTGTAAAGTGTTATAAATTGTAATGTTGATGATGTCTGAGCCGGCAAAACCTTATCTTGGGCATCTGTTAATAAAATTCATCTTTAATCATTGGGTATTTTAATAAACTGTTAATGTGCCATTTGTCTATGGAGTCAGTCAGTCAGTCTGGTTGTGTTGTTAAACATGACTGTAAATCTATTATTTACTCAAAAAAGAGGAACATATTTAAATTGCCAACTGAAAAATAGATTGTGATCTGTATTGCATGTTTGTTCTCCTTGTCTATGGGCTCTACCAACATCTGTTTACTCACATTTACTCATATTTGCATCTGGTTTTAATACAGGAAGTAGCTTTGTAATGAAAGACCATGGACAATTATGTTATATAACTATGTTTCAATGTTTGAGGAGCTTGGAACTTTTCATTGCCAATTCTATACTGTAGCTATACTGTGCATATGACAATAACGACTTTGAATCTTGATTTTGACTTATTATAAAAGCCTGACACACTACATGTGAACACACAGTTCCTGGTATGCACCAACACACTGTGCACTCAGTACCAAAGCATGCTTTATAAGATAGCAACCAGACATCTGATAGCCGTGTTCACTTAACATGGAGAGTATTACTCTGCAGTGTTAGTGGATCATTTATCAGCAGTCTATAATACTGCTACCTCTTCTATTTTCTATCACTTGTTTGTAATAATTGCATTATCCTGATATATTTAGCTATTTTCTATCTTTAGAAATATAGGCCGCTTGCTCATTTCTTTTTTAATAGAACACAATTAAAAGACAATTTGTTTATTGTATTTGAAATACAAAATACTTTTACACCTTGTCCTTGGGTTGTTTCATTTGGTGTTGGTTCAAGTGAGTGAGTGGAACATGTCGGGGTTCTACGTCACATATACATTTGCATTAGAGTTTGAGGGAACTGTTTTATACCTGCATTCTGGTCCAAATCAATCAATTTGTGTTATTTATACTTTCTCATATTGTATTTTTCAATATTGTCATTGGATGTATTTTCAGGCATCCAATGACAAACCCACTCGTCATTGAGATGATTTGTTTATTGCTAGACGTAGGTAAGAGTCACTGTCAAAGAAAGACACAGCAATACTTTTTTGTAATTAAAAGAAAAAATCACAAAAGTATTTTCCATCCTTATATTAATATTACATTTTCCTTTTTGACATTGCAGCCATAAGTAGTTGTGTTTATATTACTTTTGCATTTTATTTTATTTGCAAATCAAAGGTTGTAAGTAGTTGCCCTTTGAAAGATACTGGGGAAATTAACCGATTCAGTTAAGTACTGAAGTAAAATTACATTTTTCGTCTGGATAATAAAAGATGCATTTCTGGTGCCAGCTCAGCGCTCATGAGTTCCTTGCTCTGAATCCCACAGAACAGGATTACATTGAATGTGGTGAGAATGTAAACATTCAATCTTAAAGGAATAAAAAAAGGAATCGAGCAGAGTAAGTCACACTTACGCTCCACCTACTAACGGTCAAAACCTACATGAAAAAGAGAGATTTGAAGTGAGACATGCAGCTGACAGAGATAGACAAGAGAGAGGAGGGAGAGATAGTGGGGGGGTAATGGAGAAAAGGAGGCAGCTTTAACATCCTCATTCTGGGCCTTTTAGCGGACTGTAACTGGGCCGGGCGGCCTGCTAAACTGGGCTTTGACTTTCTGTTAGCTGAGGATGGTCATGTGAAGAATAAAAAGCAACAAAAGAAAGTTCTCTGTGTTCCTACCTCTGACAATCGTCTGTATATCAAAGTGCTCGATGGCTGTCACGCAGGCTGCGCTCCCTTCCTTCAGCTCCTTCTCCAGCCTCGCTCAGTCCAGCGACAATATGAAAGTAAGTATCGTCCGACTTCATCGTTTCAATCCTACACAGTGACAGAGAGAAAACAATTGATTTGGATATTCTCATGGTTTATATCATAATGTGTTTCACAGATAAAGGATTCGTTATTTCACTTGATATTAACTGAACGCTATCATGTTTAACTGGAGACTAAGGCTGGTTCAGTGCACTTTTTGGAAGTTGTTTAAGTCATCTGCTAATGTCGTATGAAAAAAATTATTTGTGAAAAGTCCGAAAAGTTAATTTACTCAAGTACAAGTTTATTTTTGCGGTACTTGTACTTCTTACTATTTCACTACAAATTATGGAGACAAATATTGTATTTGTAAAAATTCAATCCACTGATATATTATATTTTACTTTGCCAAACAGCATTATAAGTACTTTTAGTTTTGGTGCTGTAGGTATATTTTGGTGCTAATGTACTTTTACTTAAGTAGCACTTTGAATTTTACTGTGGTGTTATTATACTTAAGCTAAAGATCTAAATGCTTCTTCCACTGCAGCTCATTATCTGAAAAAAGCCTGAAAAGGGAAATGTTATGTCCCGTTTCAATACATTTATTAGATTATAATTCATTTTTCAAGTCTATCGGACATTATGAGTTACTGGTGACAGTGCTGTCCATCGTGGCCGCAAACATTTCCCTCCCTAAAGTGAACTTCATCCAGACGACTCATTGAATTTGTGAAGTTACAGTCTTTAAGTCCAAATTTCCCACTCTAAATTTTCCGATGACAGTGTTTCCCTACTGAGCCACTGTGGAGGGATTCTAACACAAAGGTAGAATTTTGCACTGAAAGTGAAAATGTAGAAGATACTTGGTGAATGAGGGATTAACACAGACTCAAGTTAGCTACAACTCATCTTTCAACAACCAGTATGAGCAAAAGAAGCAAATGCAGCACCCAGTAACTCTTTCAATGTACACATAGACATATGGGTGTGTCTATTAATTGTCATAACATAATATTTATTAAAATTATATTTCAGTTACATTGAGTTCATTTACTTGTTTTTTTAACTCCATTCCTGGTTATAACTTTTAATATTCATTCCTTTTTTTAATTATAATTCTAACCCTTGATATACCTTTTTTCTTTTATATAAATAATTAATTATGAATGTACTTCTTTTTTATTTACTAAATGCCAAAAACTGTATTCAACACATACAGATGGGTCAATTTGGTGGAAAATAGTCACATTTTGTTGAAAGGAACAGTAGTTCAACCTTACAATAAAATGTATGATTTTCAGTTTTTTGGGGTTTTAATAGGTTTTCAAACAGACATAATGTGTTCGGGTGTTCATATTTTGGCTAAATAGTTTATTTATTTGTATTTAATGAGCTGAAGGTGCTCTTCTGAGATACAGAGCAACATCAAATGTTTATTATGTCAAATGCAATTACACTGCAAACATTTTTGAACAATTAAAAGCCAAACTTGTCCCTATGATGAAAATAGTGACCTATTCTTTAAATGTAAAATCATGTGCAGGAATCTTCTTGTCACACTGGTTTCCCTGTTTCATCCTGACTTCTGCTCTCCAACATGGTCTAGGTGTGGGAGTCAGAGGGCGGCTCTCTCCCTCTGGACTCTCTCAGCAGCAAACTGTCGCCCAGCGGCTCTGAACAGCTACAGGTCTCACAGCAAATAACTGAGGATGACAGCAGAGAATCCTGGGACATTGAGTTCCTGCTGTCTGAATGGAGCAGTCCATCTCCCGACCTCGACCCCTCTCTGGATAACAAGGATCAGGGACCCCCACAGTCGGACCCTCACACAGAGTACCATGAGCAACCAGCCCAGGAGCATGTGCAGGTGAACACAGGCTGCCTGATGGAGCTCCTGCCCCCTGCTGAGACCTTCCCCTCCGTCCAGCCGGAGCTGTATCACCATGGTTACAACGGCGACCAATCGGGTAGGTTTCATAGTCTACCTAACGTAGATCAGTTCGGCTTCCCTCAGGGAGGCAGTGTGGAGAGGCACAGCAGAGGAAATAAGGTCTCATCCTGGGACTTTAACCCTTACTACCCCCAGCAGCACCCCTCCATGGTGCCCCTCCCCGACAGAGGGTTCATCCCACATCAAGCCGTGACCCCTGACCCACGACACTACAGCTACATGCCACACTTTAACCACAACCTCTTCTGTGACTACACCCACGGCCAGGCCTCCAGTCACCTGGCTCTCCACCAGCAGACCCTGCTGATGGGCCCCCAGCTGCCCCCTTGTGGGGAGGAGGTGAAGCGCGGTCGAAGGGCTATGGGGAAAAAGAGGCCTGCCGTCCACTGCTGCGACTACCCCAACTGCAGCAAGACCTACACCAAGAGCTCACACCTCAAGGCTCACCTGCGCACGCACACAGGTAAGCCCCATTGAAAAATATATTAGTCTTTAAGGTCACCTATTATGCTATTTTTAGGCATATATTATATGTCTCAGACATATACAAATATATAAAAAACATGTCGATTAAGTATTTTGCTGAAAAAAGAAAAAAAAAGATCACCCATTCTAGTCATGCCTCATATCTACTTCAGCCCTGTTAGAGAAGTGCTGATTCTGTGACCGTAGCTTTAAAAAAAAGAAAAGAAGTCTACCCAGATACTCAGCTAAATGCTGCCGTGATGAAACGCCATAACATGTTCTTCGTTTTTAAAGATTTGGGTACGGAGGAAAAGAGAGGGTTTTGTTTTTTAGTTCCCTTACACACCGGGGACACATATTTATGTATAAAAGACATACAAAAGTGCATTTTGCCTGATAGGAGAACTTAAATATGTGACTCAGTGATTTATCTTCGGTTGTATTGTTTACTCTTCAGGGGAAAAGCCGTACCAGTGTTCCTGGGAAGGCTGCAGCTGGAAATTTGCCCGCTCAGACGAGCTGACGCGTCACTACCGCAAGCACACGGGACAAAAACCCTACGAGTGCCTAATGTGTCAGAGGGCCTTCTCCCGCTCCGACCACCTGGCTCTGCACATGAAGAGACACATCTGATGCTGACACACACACAGAAATAAACAGGCATAATTTTTGATATTTGTTATTCGTTCAAGTTTTTTTCTATGACCCAAATCAGTACACTGATCAGCAGAATTGGGGCGACAGCGACCTAAGAAATCAACTGAAAATGTTCAAAATATTACCTTGAAATCTGCACTTGATCATCTGGCTGGTAAACACATGCCCACATGTAGATAAGCAACATGAGGATTGAAACACAACTATTGGTAGGCTTGTTACAATTAATTTATCTTACACTTTTTTATTTGATTTTTGGCTAAAGAAATGCCATATTTTACACTATTGGATCCGTGTTTTCCTTTCATTTAACAGTCTAGGCTCAAGATGAGATTAAGTGAACTCACAGTGATAATCAAGGCATACATTATACAAAACTTTGGAGTAGATTAAGACTTTCTCAGTAAGATGTTAGGACTCAAATGTAAAAAGAGATTAGGTTGTTCTCTCATTGACTTATAAATAAAAATAGCAATACAGATATAAAATCAGTATTCTTTGTAAGAGCCAGTTAGATGAACACTGTACACTGTTGGCATGTATACAGAAAACATTAACACTAACAAAATAACGACCTACAAAAATAAATTTATATTTATTTGTGTGTACTACGGGTTATAAGACAATACACAGTTGTAGTATCTCATGGCACGCTGAACAGAGTCATGACTGCTTAATGCTTCGCTACATTTCTGCTTTTATGATATCTTAGTCTGATTTCCATTTACAGGTTTAGTTCATAGTAATCCTGCTTGTAATTCATACAAAACCAGACCATAAAACATATTTTAAACTATGTGATGACAGTAAATGGAGAGCTATGCATTTTTGTCGCCTTCCTTTATGTTTGTCTGTTTGGGGATTATTAATTTAAGAAGAACATAATTTATGCTTTTGTCTCTCGCATCAAGCAGCATTTAAAACTGTAAATAACCTGCATTTTTCGCTCAGTTGTTTATTTACATCTAAAATTAAAAGCAACATATTTATTTACATAATCTTTTTTTATCAACGGAAAATATATTATTGTACAGTGTTTTCTATCCTCAAAAGAGTGCTTTAAAGTCTTTTCATTGTTGTTTTCATTTTCAAAATTGTAATAAAGACCACTAATGCTGTAAAGCTGACTCTACATTTGACACAATTTTTTTCCTCCTCCGTAGTTGGTTATATCGATTTCTTTCATGTAAATGGTCTGCAAAGGCTTAAATCTCAAAGTTGTTTCTCTCCCACACCCCCACCCCCCCCTTTTTGGACATTAAAGCATGGAGACATGTCACAGTAGAGACACTAAATACAAATATGAATCTGAAAATGTGCGTAATAGGGTCCCTTTAGGCAGCTGACTTTAACACAAGTTATATCATATGTAAATTAAGTGTTGTAAGTGCTTTACTCTAAGATACATCTGCCCTGTATAAAGCAGAATCAAAAAGTTTTTACAGAATACATAAGAGCTTAGGCATTTCATGAGTCATCCTCACAAGTAATGTCAGAACTTGACCTGTAGGTGGCAGTCTGTGGCAGTTGTTTCAAATCTGGGTGAGGGTTGTGCTAGGAAAGAAAATCTTCTTATGTAACTCAGCACTCACGGAATCCTCCTGATTATGTCAGATGATGGAGTTTGTGATCACATTACAGAGCTCCTCTCTCTCTATCTCTGTCGCATACCCTTGCACAGATAGTAGACCCTGAGGGAAGACAAACAGAGAAAAGCAAACACCATGATTTAACAACATTTGTGAAGCATACTTATACATACAGACCAACAGAACTTAACTTGCTTGTGCTACAAGCACCAAAGGGGATTTTGTTTGAGTTTATTAACATCTGGCTTTATTCAAATGAAAGATCACCCTCAACATCTCACATTAAAATGTTCCCAGTGTTATATCTCTCACAGGCTCCGCCCTCTACTGGACTCTATGGGTACTCTCCTCGATCCTATCATGCAAACAATCATCCACTGAGACTGAGTTTTAGATAAGCCAGCCCTTTATTAGTATATACAGTGGGGCAAAAAAGTATTTAGTCAGCCACCAATTGTGCAAGTTATCCCACTTAAAAAGATGAGAGAGGCCTGTAATTTTCATCCTAGGTATACCTCAACTATGAGAGACAAAATGAGAAAAAAAAAATCCAGAAAATCACATTGTCTGATTTTTAAAGAATTTATTTGCAAATTATGGTGGAAAATAAGTATTTGGTCAATGCCAAGGCACACAGGGGATAGGTTTATATACCCTTTGTTGGCAATGACAGAGGTCAAACGTTTTCTGTAAGTCTTCACAAGGTTTTCACACACTGTTACTGGTATTTTGGTCCATTCCTCCATGCAGATCTTCTCGAGAGCAGTGATGTTTTGGGGCTGTCGCTGGGCAACACGGACTTTCAACTCCCTCCAAAGATTTTCTATGGGTTTGAGATCTGGAGACTGGCTAGGCCACTCCAGGACCTTGAAATGCTTCTTACGAAGCCACTCCTTCGTTGCCCGGGCGGTGTGTTTGGGATCATTGTCATGCTGAAAGACCCAGCCACATTTCATCTTCAATGCCCTTGCTGATGGAAGGAGGTTGTCACTCAAAATCTCACGATNAAACAGGCGAAAACCTACCAGTTTCACCCACTGTCTCTGCCACCTCCCTCCATGCCTGGCTCCTCCGGTTTGTATCCCGGTAGGTGAACAGGGACTGATCGTACAAGACCGGGTGATTCCCTAACGATATGACTAATTTCTCCTCCATTTTTTGAAATATGAGGAAATGACCTGCGGTGTGTCTCTCCCAGCATACACGCGGTTTGATTGGCTA